ACAAAAAAGAAAAAAAAAAAAAAAAAAAAAAAAAAAAGAGAGAGAGAGAAAGAAAAGAAAAGAAAAGAAAAAAGAAGTACCTCCCCACCCCAGAAAGCCTAGCCTCATCCTCCCCAGCCCACCTGCATCCCTGTCAGTTACAATGCTGCCTCCAGCTGAATCTCCCTCTCAGCAGAGCTTGTCAAAGACAATACAGCTGGACATGGAAAATAAGGTTTATTCTCTGTATTGACAGTAGAGAAAGGTGTGAGGTCCTTTCTGAGTCCTGCAGGAGCAATTTGGGCATTCAAAGGGAGGATGAGTTGGGGGAGTGGCACTTAAAAGAGCCAGAGAAGTGAAAAGTTACAAAAGCTCGGTAAGAGGCTGGTCAGGGCAGAAAGATCAGGCAGCTGTGTGTACCAGCTGGCAGACATCAAAGATGAGATGGAGGATAAAGGAGGGTGGGAAACAGGACCCCCCACCGCCAGGATTCCATTTCAAACGAAAGGCTCTCAGATCCTTGAGAGACACTTCTGAGCTTGGAGAGATCCACCCATTCTCAGCCCTTTCTGGAAGCTCTATTGGGGAGGTGGGGGGCCACTGAACAAGCAGCAAGCTGTCATCCCAAGCAGGCAGGTGAGGGTGCTGAGATCTGTTTACTTGCTGCTAGGAGATGCTGGAGGCCACAGAGCTGGGCCAGATCCCTTAGGGAAAGAGCTTTGGATGGAATCACAGTTCCCAGGATCTCAAGGTCCTGCCGTATCAGACTGCAAACCTCCCTTGACCTTTCTCCCTGATTCCAGACTCCCAGCTAAGGTCCAGGGCACTCAGTAGAAATCCTAGATGCTTCTCAAGGACCCTGCCAGTCCTCTCTGGCCCATCTCTTTGTATTCTGCCACCTGGTATCTCCCTGCACCCGGCCTGGATCCAACAGGCAGTGGGCTCCAAGGTCTGGGTGCCCTCCAGGCTCCCAACACAGGCATCTTTCCTCCAGCTCCCAGGGTTCCTAGGATCCTACCTGGAGAACTGTGGACTTTCTAATGGGGGGATCCTGTTGCCTGGGTTTTGAGTTTGTGAGGAGATTCACTTTGTTCTTGACTAACATGTCCCCTTTTTCCTGTTTAAATTTTCTTGAAGTTATATTTTAATACAGCTTTGGATTCTAAGCCCTCAGGGCCTCTCCCAAAAGTGTCTGTAGTACCGATAGATTTATGAGTTTAGTCAGTCTGTTAGATTACTGGACAAACTTGGCAGGATGGTTGAAAATACGGCAGTTTTGGAATCATACAGGTCCTGCCTCTGCCTTCTCTTAGACATGTGGCCACAAGTGGTATGTCAGAGACTACCTGGCCTCCTGCTCTGAAAAGGGGTCACCTCCTCGAAATGTGAGTGGTCAATGAGTGTATTTGTATTTGTCAGGGCTCTCTAGATAAATAGCGCTGAGAATATGTGTACGTATATGTGTCTGTGTCTGTACTCACACATGTGTACATGGGAGGGAGAGATTGTTCATGAGGAATTGGCCCATGCAATTATGGAGGCTCACAAAGCCAAAAATCTGTAGTCAACACACTGGAGACACAGGAGAGCCAACGTTTCAATCAGAGCCCAACATGCAGAAAAGACCCATGCTTCAGTTCATAGCAAGTAGGAAGGGGTCCCTCTTGCTTAACCTTTGTTCTCTTCGGGCTCTCAGTGGACAGACAGAAGATCACCCACGCTACGGAGGGCCATCTGCTTGAGTCAATCAGTTGACTAATTCCAATGTGATTCTTACCCAAGAACATCTTCACAAGCACAGGTACTCCATGGTCCAGTTAACTTGATAACTAAAATTTATCATCACAGACCTCAGGAGCCCCAGAGCCTCATCCTTACCTGCCACGTGCTGCATAAAAATGGCCTCCACCTTATTACAGACTTATTAGGCAGCTGCAGGGCCAGAGTCAGCAAGAGGGACATCCAGGCAGAGCAGTGTGACTGTTTCATCCTGGGATGAAAAGGCCGTCCAGCATCTGAAGGGGTCATGTGGGGCCCTCCTCCCTGGAAACTTGGAGAGGGTGACCTCACAGATCACCTTGGCAGGCAGGGAGTTGATGACAGTACTGTAGGGTTTATGGAAAGATTCCATAGAGAGCCACAAGGAGGAAGCTAAGCCTCTGTCTGGCAAGGCCATTTACTTGATATTTCCCCCCAAATGAGAGCTTGGGGTGAAAAGACCTTAGCTCCAAACAGATTTTCTTGTCATTTGTTTCTCTGTAGTTTGAGAATGTTTAGCTCAAGTTTCTTGGACAAACAGAGCTTACGGGAAATGTACTGGTTTTAGCCCATGCTCCAGCATTCTGTAACTGGTAGTTCAGATGCATATGTATGGGTCATTTTGGGTGGATGCTGGGATACAGCATTTGGGGATAGAGAGTGAAGCTCCAGGATATGAGATATCATCCCAGATGAGACCTCTAGCGCTGAATATTATGTACACATTTCTGGAAACCCCACATAAGGCTGTGGATCCTGGGTCTTTGGTGGTGTCACCATCTGTAGTTAATCCTGATCCAAGCTGGGCTCTTTGGGCCCCAAGAAGGTACTTGCCTTCTCTGCCAACAGCCTTGTGTTTCCTAACAGCTGAGATCCCATGGAAATTCCCAACAAAACACAGACAGACGGCAGGGGCCTGCTCCTCCGGCTCTATTTTGACATAAATCAGAACACTGTTTTGTAATCCATATGCACAGCTCCATTTCATGCATTACCAATGGGTGCAGCTTCTGCAACTTTCAGACAAGTTCTGGTGTTTTAGTGCCTTTTAGCAGGGCATCCCCATTGCCAACATGGGTCATGGTACAGCTGGACACCCTACTGTCCTCTTGTCCCTACTTTTCTCCTTTTAGTACTGTGAAATGAGTTGAATTCACGACTTTGGTTATCAACTTATTCCCATACTTCATGACCCATCCATACTACAGGCCAATATTAAAATTACATCAGACTACGACCCTCCAGAGAGAAGGTGGAGCTGTGGCTCTGGTGCTTATGCTTGTCATAGCATTTCACACTACCACAGGGTAATTGCTGGTCTCCCAGACTCTGCTCCAGCAGACAGTGGGCCCTGGAAACAGTGAGTGGAGTATGTTAGTGAAGTAAGATGGCAACTGGCTCAGGAGAGCTATTAAGCGACCACAGGGGACCAGCTGCCCTTATCCTTTCATTTGGGGAGTGATTTTTTTTTAGAGCTCTGAATATTATTTTTGACAAGATTTCTGTTCCATAACTGATGTATATAGTTCACATCCTGGGCAGCTGATCACATAATTCAGAGAGAAAATGATGTGGGGAGGGAGCATGGGGAATATCAGGGCCTCTGGCTCTAGTCAGCTTGGAAATGTCACTTTGGGAAATCATTTTTATGGTTGAGGCTTCAGCTTTTATATCTGCAAAATGGGAGGGCTGAACTGGAAGGTCTCTTCTTTAATATTCTAGAAATAGATAATTCAATGACAACTTATTTAGAAATGAAACTGATTAAAGGCACTGGGAACAATGTGTAATTTTAATTGTAACAACATTTCTATTGTAATGTGTAACATGTGCAGAGGGAAGGCTAAGTGTTTCTTTTTTCATTCTATATGAGATAATCGACTTGGAAGTTAGGTTAGGAAACAAAACAACAACAACAACAACAACACCCCCCCAAACAACCTCCCCAATCTCTCTTTCTCCTAGCTTAGAAACTGGAGTTCCTACTGTCCATGGCCCTTGCCTGCCCTCCCCCTGACGTGCTTCTGTGTCCAGTCTAGGCCAACCCCCTTTTTACAAGGAACTTTAGCAGCTCCTTAATAACTTGCCAAAAACATTTTTTAAATGTAAGGGTAAAAAGAAAATGAGAACCTAGCAGAGGCCCACTTTATAAGTGATGAGAAGAAATAAAAATCAGGAATATGGATAGCTACCAGTGATACTGAGGAAGATTCAAGGCCACTTCTCCAAATGGAATAAAGAGGAACACAGACTCACCTTTGTAAGCATGTGCTTTCCTGGGGGGCCATTTGCCTCTCTTGACTGGAGGCTCAAGATGTGGCACCTTGGTTGGTGCTTGGCCCACAAAGCCAGTGCTCCTGGGATGGGCACACCATTGTGCATAGTAGAGCTTCCCCTTGCCTCAGCATTTCTCCTGATCCCCCATCTTGAGTTTCAGCCCACGATGTATACATTTCTCATGAGAGGCTTGGACATGTCGTACTAAAGAAACATGTATTTCTACTGTTCTTTCAGAGAGAAAACAATGCATCAATGAAGGCAGTTTTAAGTGTGACTTGCATCTCTGCTGGATGATCCAGTCCACAACCCAGGAGAGCTTTCCTGCGTTTGGATGATCCTGACTCCGTGGCTGAAGGATTCCTCTGTCATCATCACATCCTTGGTGGTCTAAGGTTTTTGCCCTCAGTGGTGCAGAAGAGCATGTGCCCGTGCACATGTGTTCATGTATATCCTCACTCAAACCAGAGAACAACAAAAAATGAGCCCCTTTGAGGCACCTAGAAGTCGATGCACTAGGTATGCCATATGCATCCAAGTGTGAGTGTAACCTGTAGCATTGCATTAAAAAAAAAACAAAAAACAAAAAAATAGTAGCTGGAAGGAGGAATGATTGTGTTGTCTGGAAGTATTAAGTTCATTTTATATTTGTGCCAGAAGAAATGTTCCACTCTGGTGCAGATTTGGTGGACCAGGCATGGTTTCCTAGGTTAAAATCTGGGGAATGTTTATAGGATCAGACAGATAATGCTTTTTCTTTGATGGGTGCAGAATTTCTGTTGGGAAATGCACTATAAATCGCACTTGTCCAAAAAAGGACCTGTCCTTTCTTTTGTATTTGAACCACAGTCCCTGATTCACTTGGATAAGGCACTGGTCCATTTCATTGCCTCTCTAGTCAAGCCTGATGTTGAGATTTGTCTCAAGTCTGAAATCCTGTATATTCCTCCATGCATAGTTTTGTTTGGTTTTAATGGCTGCATCCTCTTGGAAGATGTATTGTACCTAGAACTAAATGGCAAACAATAACATGCATTAATAAGCACTGCCACAGAGCTATAAATGAACCATTAGGTTAAAGTCTGATGGACTCTGCAATGCAGACATCCAAGAAACATGTTAAAACTCCATGTGGTCCCCTGAGAGCCTATATCCCCTGGGAAAAGCTCCTGGCTGGGCTTCAGTGTGAACCTGCAAGAGAAAAATCAGCCAATTAGCATCTAAAGGTGTGCTTTGAGATGCACCCAAATTCACATCCTTCTGGTTTAGTTGGATTATCGTGATTTTGCATGTTGTATGTGTCTGGAGTACCACATATATCTTCCCATCCACCCCAGACACACTAAATCACAGTTCTGTAATATAAAAGAAGATAAACTATACAGGAAAGAGAAGTGTGTAAATATGTACCAATGCTTATGAAGTTGTTATGTTCATATGTAAAAAGTTTGTACATAGGAAAGGAAAATGGCCCTATGAATGTTTTAAATAATATCCTGTGAATCAAACTGCATTTTATACCCCTGCCACATACCTGAAAGCACACATTTAGTTGGAATGCCATTCCTCTTTTTAGGTATCATTGTTTTCATTCATATGTCATGGCACTTTCTTTTCATCTAATTACAAAATCAGCACTGGGCTTTGGACAAAAAAATCAAATATAAGCATTTAGCACTCATTCTTGCTGACCAGTGAGCATCTGAAGAGTTCAAGTGTTTTAAAAATAAGGTGCATTTTCTAAATCCCAGACTGTACCTTCTTTTATTCACATGTGGGTTAGACTGAATTTCCTTGAACATTTGGCTGTTCCTGCTAGCTCTTCAAACAGGGAAATCCTGTTTAAAGGCACCACCCTGAGGAAGCAAGAGGAGGGACACTGAAATGTGGCCAGGAACACTTCCTGTGTAACGGAGACGTAAGCATCTGTACACCATAGGACATGGTCACACTGTGTGCACAATGCATAGAACAACATAAATGTTTTAGTTTGTCTAAACTAGAAATCCATGTAAAATACAGATTTCTTTGTGGACACCATGCGGTATTTACCTTGTTTCCATGGTTGAGTTCCAGTTGTTGAAGGCCTATGGCTGTGACTTAAGGTCTCTGCCCTTGCAGAATCTGTAGCCTTCAGGAAACCTGAGTGCCTTATGTGGCTTGTGAACACCAACTGGGAGTCAGGAGGGGCTGGTGCAACACTGGCTTTAAGGCATTGATAGTTCATCAGCACTTGCCATCACTCCATCACTGAAATCTTGAGATGGGTAGTGTGTTTTTACGAAGTAATGGATTTAAGTTTAGGCTCAGGAAAATCATATTGTGACTATATGTATCAAAGCATATATTTGTTTACTGTATATTTTTAAAAGCTATATTGTAAATTTATGCAAAAATTAACAGGATTTGTTTTCTTATGGCAACGTGCCAGGCAGTATTTGTGTTCTCTGAGGCAGTTCCTTAATTACCACGTTCTAAACATGTGATAGTCTGTTCAGTACTAAACAATATTCACAGGCTACACTAGGTTTGTATGGTGACCCACTACAAAATTTTACACATATTTTTGTATTGTGATTCCTATGATATACCAGAGAATTTTTACTTATTTGTAAATTATTGTACAGTTTTAATAAAAATTGTTTTAAAAGCGTAGAAGATCAAAGCATTTCCAAGGGTATTATTAGGGTTTGAACTTAGCGGGTATAGTAGCCATTTCTGCATTTTTGCATTCATTCTCTGAAATACAATGCCTCTTTCTGTGCCGGAAAGGGAATCTGGACCTTCTGCCCACTGGGGTGGGGCGGGAGGGTCACCTACAGCCTCATCCTCAAAAATCTAAAATCGCCTGGAGGAAACCTCTGCCTCAGGTACCTGGCAGCACCTGGCTGAGGCTGGCCAACTGGAAAGCTTTCTTCTGTCAAATGTGAACGGAAAGAGAAAGAACACAAATAACTTAGAAAAGGGAGATTTTTGCACATGAGTAAGACCAGTTGTCAGGGTCCACTGCAGACCAATGGTGAGTGTCCCAGTGACTCATTTTCTGAATTTAGGCTATGAAATGCCCAACTCCACCGACAACACAAAGGCTGGGCCTTCTCAATCAAAATTAGTCGCTGCAGGCCTCCGCAATGTGATAGTATAGCCCTGTGATCTCTGGGGAGCCCAGATCCCCTCTGTCTTGTCTCACCCCAACTCTTACGCCTTGGCATTCAGCGAAGTCAGAGCTGCTTCCACTTGCTGATCCCACATCTTACTCTTGCTGATGATTTAGTCAGGGCCTTCTTGCCCAACGTGGATTCTCCCAAGGGCTCCGGAGAGTGATGGAGTTCCTACGGACTGAAGCTCTCCAGTGCTTGCTTTCTTCCCGCGTTTCCAGCATGTGTGGGTGGAGTCGGAGAGCACCCGAGCCCGGAGGGTGAGCGGCCGGGCTTGCTGGGCCGCGGTGCTCCTGGGGCCAGACCAGGTAGTTCGTTCAGCACTTGCTGTATGAACAGCGCCAGCTCCAATGGGCCGAGCCAGGAGTGTGGGGAGAGGGACCGGGAGCGGGTGAGGCCAGGGAGGGCCGGATCTTGGCTCCACGTGCAGACGCGCTGGGGTCCCAGATGCACCCAGACGCTGGGCTGGTCTCTGACTCCTACCATGCCTGCACCGCAGCCGCACGGTCCCGAGCAGCCTCTGGCCCGGCCCAAGCTCGGTGGCGTCTTCCGCTGCGTGGAGGATGCCTTCTGAAACAAGACACTGCCTCTGGATTCGTGGCGCCGCGACCCCTAGACCCACGGATGGGCGAGCCCTACTGAGGGCCGCGCCGCCCCTCGGAGATACTTGAACAGCCAGGCGGAGACCTGTCTGCGGTCGCGGCCAGTCGCCAAGGGCAGCCCAGCTTGGTCCCAGCCCGCGGATCTCCGCAGGTGAGGCCGCAGGACAGAGGTGCAGGCCACCACTTATAGAGCGCCATCCGCTCAGGCCTGAAGCCGTCCCAGGACTTCTCCTTGCCTTGAGACCCCACTCCTGAGCCCGCCTGGCGGCCCCTAAGCCCATCACTGCCCGTCTCACTGTGTGTCTGTCTCGCTGCCCCTGTCTAGTCTTGCCTGTGTCTCTCCACCTTGTCCCTCCCGCAGCTGGCTTTTCGCAGCCCCCTGTGGAACAACCCCGGGGAGGTCTCCAAGGCCTGGTGCAGCTCCCAGGACACAGCCCCTCGCTCTCTCTCTAACTCCCGTATCCCGGGAGGAGCCTGGCTTTGGCTAGAGACAACTTCCTGAACGGACTTGTTTCCCACACTAGGGAACCAGTTTCAGCTGCAGAGCCTGGGTGCTTTGGGTCATCACGGGGCAGGGCACAGGCGGGGCTTGGTAGGACGTTGTCTGACCGCTCTCCTTTGCGGGATCCAAACTCTTCATGCGTCTTCAGGGACAGGTCGCACTTCCACTTGGCACGCAATGGCACGGGTGCAGGAACCAGTCTAGCCTCAGGCGGGGGAGGTTGGGAGGATCTGGCACGGGGCGGGACCTGAATGCAAATGAGAAGTGGCGGGGCGGGGCCTGAGTGCAACTAAGCGAGGGCGGGGCCGGGAGTAGCGCTGGTTCGCTCACATTCTGGCGCTTCGCTCCCCACGCACACGCTGGGCTCAACGCGCGTCCCCGCTTGCTCGCCCGCTCCCACGCCGCCCGTCGGTCCCCAGGCCTGCCAGCGGAGCAGAATGTCCTTTCAGGGCAAGAAGAGCATTCCCCGGATCACGGTGAGCCCGCGGCCCCTGCCCACCGCGCAGAGGGGCCTTCTCGCCAGGCGGACCCTCCGTGGGTCTCATCTCCGCGCAAGCCCGGTCCCGGCGCTAGCCCTTCCTCTCGGTTCCTTCGCGCGCTGCCGGCGACCGAGAA